TACTAGGTGTTAACTGGCTTTATCATGGAGCCCAAGAACAGGGGAAGGCAAAATGCACTTCCAGTCTCAGCATGAAGTTCAGGTACCTGAGACCATAGAAATCGGCACTCCCTGTTTTAGCTTTCTTAAGTGGGAAGGGCCATGGTGTAGAACTAGAGCATCAGCTTTGGGTACAGGAAGTCACAGGCTCAATCCCTGCCGTCTCCAGTTAAAGGGAACAGAAGAAGAGGAGATTGGATTTATAGCCCGCCCTTCACTACCCAAAGGAGTCTCAGAGCGGCTTACAATGTCCTTCCCCTTCCCACAACAAACACCCTGTGGGGTAGGTGGGGCTGAGAGAGCTCTGAGAGAACTGCTCTTGAGAGAACAGCTCTGAGAGAACTTGTGACTGACCCAAGGTCACACTGGCAGCTGCGTGTGGAGGAGTGTGAAATCAAGCCCAGTTCTTCCATGCTCCTAACCACTACACCAAACAGGGAGCAGATGGTACAGAAGACCTCAGCCCAAGACCCTGGAGAACTGCTGCCAATCAGAGTAGGCAATACTGACCATGATCAACCAATGGTCTGCCTCATTGTAAGGTAGTTTCATGTGTGTTCACTTTGCTGCATAGAAAGGACTCTGTCATACTCTTGAAGAAAAACGGTTCCGTGGTTTTTATGGATGCGACTTTGATCAAATGCGTTTTGACGGGGGCATATTTCACAGAAATGTAAGATGCCCATCTCAGACTGTGCGGAGAGGCATGGAAAATATTCGTGCTTATGTAACCCGGAATTTCATGTTGGTACAAGGAAGAAATATTTATGTCTGCTGGCTTAAAGGGGGATTACGAAAGGGATTATGTTTGTTTTTAGCACTTGACGAGTGAGCCAGTGCTTTCCTAGCCTGTGGTCCTGAACTCTCAGCTTGGTTACTCTCACCAAGTCTACCCATTCTTCTGCGGGAAAGCTGGACAGCAACTCTGTTCAGTCTCGGCACAGCGGCCCCCCTTGTGGTGGGCAGCGGCTCCAGCTGCCTCACGTTTTCCAGCGTGTGTTAATTTATTAGCACTATCGTTTTTCTATTTTAACATGTTTTGTGTTTGCGGCCTCTTCCAGCATTGCGGGGGCCCATACGACAACTACTGGAAAAGGTGATCTTTTAGAAGTCACTGCAGGAGGCGATTCACAAATTGTGTCGGTTTGCGCCCCGTCTCCTTATCGTGTTTCTCTCTGAGCTCAGGCTAATTTTTTTTTTCCCTTTCGTGTTTGCAGCAACCGCAACACTTACTGACACATGGGTTATTGTTTGATTTCCCCTACCCTTGGCTGTTGACTCCCTAATAAGTGAGTGTTCTGTTGCCAAATATAACCCAAATTCTTTCTCTTCTGTGTCCATTAACAGCTAGCCGATGGCGGAGTCTCTTCTCTTCGTCTGTCTCCTTGACTTTCCCTTATAGCCCGGTTGCAAGGCTTACTCCGTATAGCAACGGCTTTAACACCCCTGCCTTTTCTAAAACCTTCAGTAAAGCAATATTAACACCTGAGAAGACAGGTAACGCTTGCCTTACTAATTCCTAGTGCTGCAATAAGGCTTATCATAAATACTGAATGTGTGTCTGCCATTAGGATGCTTATAACCTGTTGCCTTACTGGGGTAGGTTGGAGCCGCACTTCACTGGGTATTGTGCTATTGTAATTGCTCACCTCCAAGATTTCTCTGTCTGCACAGGACATGAACAGTTACCATAGCACATCGGTCCTCAATTTGGTGTAGTGGATAGCAGTGTAGACTCTAGTCTGGGAAAATCAGGTTTGATTTCCTGCACCTCCACATGCAGCTGCTGGGTTACCTTGGACACACCACAGTTCTCTCAGAGCTGTTCTCTCAAGAGCAGTTCTCGAAAGAGCTCTCTCAGCCCCAACTACCTCACAGGGAGTCTGTTGTGGGGAGAGGAAGGGAAGGAGATTGTAAGCCGCTCTGAGACTCCGAGGGAAGGGGGGGGTATAAATCCAATCCCTTCTTCTTGTTTTCAGCCTGTGAGCATCTTTGGATGCTCCTCCTCCTCTTCCCATCTCCCTCACAGGGTGTCTGTTGTGGGGAGAGGAAGGGAAGGAGATTGTAAGCCGCTCTGAGACTCCGAGGGAAGGGGGGGGTATAAATCCAATCCCTTCTTCTTGTTTTCAGCCTGTGAGCATCTTTGGATGCTCCTCCTCCTCTTCCCATCTCCCTCACAGGGTGTCTGTTGTGGGGAGAGGAAGGGAAGGAGATTGTAAGCCGCTCTGAGACTCCGAGGGAAGGGTGGGGTATAAATCCAATCCCTTCTTCTTGTTTTCAGCCTGCGAGCATCTTTGGAATTCTGACACAGGGAGGTGGGCGCAACTACAAAATGGCTGCCACGGGAGGTGGAGCTAACCATAAAATGGCTACCTCAGTAAGCAGAGCCATATGCCCAGAGAAAGCCTGAGTGCATGGGAGAAGAGGAATATTTTTAAAAAATACACTGGGGAAGAAGAATGAGTGAAAATAAAACCAACACTGTGGTGTCAGCTGCTGCCGAAATACCATTATTTTAATATGCCTATCTGATTGGATCTCCAGTGGCCAGTTAAAAGCCTTGCCGGGCAAATGCTCGAACTGGCTCCACTCACTTTTTAAAAAACTTGGTGAGTGCCAGGAAAGGTGTCAGTGAACACCATGTTGCCCATGGGCACCATGTTCGGGACCCATGCCATAGTGCAACGTGTGGGTCCTTCCTTAATGTTCAGAGCCTGGGGGCTGAACTGCTCTTGACCATGGTTGAAAATACTGATTTGTGGAGGGCTGTCTGTGCAGTCTTTTACGGGGAAACGGTGGCTCGTTTTTTACCGTTTCCTCACGTCAGTTCAGAGACGCTTAGTGATGGAGGGTGGGGTAATCTGCTTCCCCTGGGGATCAAGCGATAAAATGACTCCTTGCTTCTGTGTTAAAATCTTCACGCACATCAGGGCAAGTTATTTTGGTCTGCACCAGTTACAATCTGGGCAAGAATCTTAAGTATCCCAAGAGCTGGGTACTACCATATGGTGACCTTTTTACGGCCTGGGGAATAAAGATCTTGGTGTTCTGAAGGAAAGGTATGGGTGAGCAGTAAGAAGCATTAGCAGAGAAAATGGATTGTCGTATGTTACAGGTTGGCCAGGAACTCTGCTGTTGAAATAAAAAGGTCATGTGAACATATGGCTGGAGGAGGAGATATGGGGCAGGTCACCATTGATAGGACTGTAGATCTTCTGTAAAGAATGTGGTGCTGGAGGAGGAGATATGGGGCAGGTCACCGTTGATAGGACTGTAGATCTTCTGTGGCTTATAATTCGGACTAGAGTGCTCCTGATAAAGCCAATGCAAATTGTGGCCCTTTTCAAACTGCCTTTGTACGCCGTTTTAGTAACTGATTGCTAATGGATTTTTTCCTGTCATTACAGACAGACCCATTTTAGTAACCAGCTGCTAGTAGAATGTATTTATCTCATACAAACCCACTTGCATCGGGTTACCAAGGCATGGTTGAGCCGTTTTTGAAGGAAACTGCTTTCTTCCGTTTTCTATCCCTTCGTTGTGCTTCTGAATCGCTGTGGTGTGCTGTTTCAAATGTCCACAGCGCTTCCTATAATTGTGCTTTCCCCCCGCGTGATCTTCCTCAGACTTTTTAAAAAACATTTTAAGTTGGCCGCTGTAGCACTAAACTGATATAGCATTTCAGTGTTATGGTGGCAGTATTGAGATGCATTGACTGGAGTGAAGGCATCTCAGTAGTTTAGCGCTATAGCTATATTGGTGCTATATCAGATTAGAGCTATAGCGCTCAATTTAGAACATTTTTAAAAAGCCTTGAGGAAGATCACGCAGCAAAAAAGAGAGGGGGGGAAGGGGCACTGTTTATCGGATTAGAGCTATAGCGCTCAATTTAGAACATTTTTAAAAAGCCTTGAGGAAGATCACGCAGCAAAAAAGAGAGGGGGGGAAAGGGGCACTGTTTGAAATGACTGTAGCGCTTCAGAGACAGCTCTTTAATGGAAGGAAATTTGCTGTATGAAACCCCCTTCCCTCTATCGCTTTCCTCGAAATTGGGCCAACAGCGAATACCATCCAGTTTAGAATAGTAATGTGAAAAGGGCCTGTATCATTGTTTCAGGGTTGAACCGTCCTTCTCTGTGGAGAAATGCAATTTTATTTGGATAAAACAAAGCTGGTTCAATCAAGTGGACTGGCGATCTCTGCACCTTGGTGCTGGAGTTGATATTTTTGAAGCAGAATATAAACAGCATCCTAATATATATAGGATAAATTGTGACGTGTTTAGTGCAAACCTGCCCAGTAGGCACACTTTAATCAGGATGTGATATTTATTCTATTGCAAAATGTGCAGTGATATATATATATATATATTTTAGTAGAATGGCTTAGCTGCCGAAGATGAGTTATTAAGAAGGTCTGGTTATGTGGTTAAAGGATGTGAAAAAGAAGAAGCTGTACAAGTTACAGATAATCCCTGAGGATTTGCAGATGTTGTAGTTTTGTCCATGGGGACAACCCCCCCCACACACACTTTTAACTTTTAAAAATGGAAAGCTGGTATGTTTGCATGTTTAAAATCTGCCCCATACATCAGAATTTGTACTAAGCTTTTTCTCTACCCACCAGCTGAAAGCAAAGAAGAAATTCATAGGTCAGAAGTCAGCTTCTTGCATCTCTTTCATTAGCTAGCAAAGCACTAAAATTAAATTAGCTAGCAAAGCACAGCTTTTAAATAATTTTTAAAGAAGCCATTGATGGTTTTTTTTCAAAAGATGTTGAATTTAGAGCCATGTCTTCCAATGTAGCTTCAAATCTAGTGTCTTGAAATACTGCTTGAAAAGTAGAAGGCATCCATATGTTGTCTAGTAGCTAAAGGATGTGTATTGTTACTGTCGCACAGGTTGTATTTCTAGAAGCTCTCCTCTCAGCCCCCAGTCATCAATAGACAGTGAACTGAGCACCTCAGAGCTAGAAGATGACTCCATCTCCATGGGATATAAACTTCAAGATCTCACAGATGTCCAGATCATGGCTCGGCTTCAGGAAGAAAGTAGGCTGTCTTTCCTTCTTCCCTTTCTCTAAACAGTTGTATGCTACTACTGTCACCTTGGGGGAAACTCTTGCTTCTAACTGTGTGTAAGTTGCTCAGTTCATACAAAGAGCTGTTGCACCTAGATAGCTCCAGGTGGGTCTTCTGAAATTCCCACTATGAAGTATCCTCAAATACTGGTGAGAATTCCTGTGTTGGCACTAGATGTACTTCAAAGAAAAGGAACCTCAGGAGGGCCAAGTGAGATATGAGGTCATCTCATACATCAAGAGCAAATGCTTGCTTGCTTGCTTCTGCTCTCTCTCTTTTTCTCCCTTTCTCTCTCTCTCTCTTTTTTCTCTCTCTTTTTCTTTCTTTCTCTCTTTCTCTCTCTCTCTTTCTCTCTCTCTCTTTCTTTTTCTCTCTGTCTGTCTGTCTGTCTGTCTGTGTCTCTCTCTCTTTCTCTCTCTTTCTTTTTCTCTCTTTTTCTCTCTGTCTGTCTGTGTCTCTCTTTCTCTCTCTTTCTCTCTCTTTCTCTCTCTCTCTCTTTCTCTCTCTCTCTCTTTCTCTCTCTTTTTCTTTCTTTCTTTCTTTCTTTCTTTCTTTCTTTCTTTCTTTCTTTCTTTCTTTCTTTCTTTCTTTCTTTCTTTCTTTCTTTCTTTCTTTCTTTCTTTCTTTCTTGAAACTGCTCTCCTGATCTGCACCAGATTGCTCAAATGCTCATGCAAAGTTTATGAGCAACACGGGGCTCAGTTAGTTGTGCTGTGAAATGATCATATGCACAACCAGCTTAGAGAAGAGAACCGTGAAGCGTGGCCCTGCCCTCGCATGGGTTGTCTAGCTGTATCTTTTGGTAGATTCAGATGGGTAGCCATGTTGGTCTGAAGCAACAGAACAAAATTAGAGTCCAGTGACACCTTTAAGACCAACAAAGTTTTATTCAAGGTATAAGCTTTTGTGTGCATGCACACTTCTTCAGATACAATGAAATGGAAGTTACCAGTCCATACATATAGGTAGAGGGCAAGCAGCAAATTTTTGGAAAATGTTTTAATGTATCTTTCAGACAGGAGAGCAATTTGAAGAAGGACTGCTGCTTCTAGTATATTGTGGCACAGGGATGAAAGATATGGCATGATCCTGTTTTTCACTCAAACGTCTTTCTCCCCCCCCCCCCCCGCAAAATCTCCAGGTCTGAGGCAAGACTATGCGTCCACTTCAGCATCTGTATCCAGGAACAGCTCCAGTGTCTCTCTTCACTCGGGGAAGAAAGGGACCGGCAGTGATCAGGAATTCGATCGCTACAGTCTCGAGGACGAGGAAGAAGAGTTTGACCACCTGCCACCCCCACAGCCGCGCCTCACCCGTTGCACCCCGTTCCAAAGAGGAATTCCCCACTCACAGACTTTTTCCAGTATTCGGGACTGCAGGAGAAGCCCAACTTCCCCATATTTCCCTTCAAACAATTATCATCAGCAACAGTATTATTCTCCTCAAGCCCAAAGTCCTCTTGATCCGCAACCAAACAGGATTAATGGAGGTAAGACAAGCTGGCTTTTCTGACCGCGAGATTTCACTTCCTCCCCTGCCGCCAATACTATGAGAAATCATCTCTATTTTACCTCAGAGGTAGCCAGATTTTGTATTCTTGTGGGCACGCAGTTCTCCAAACAGCAGTATGAAGCCCAGGAATGTATTCTGCCACACCAACTTGACCTCTAATTCACCCGCTGGTACAGTAATAAAATTACCACCTAATAGCTGTAAAACTTCACTGTTCAGGGGCTTCTACCTTTGGCCACTGTAGAGAGAAATAACATTAATGTGTGGAATCAGCAGCAGACACACAGAACACTCTTCATCTTGGAAAATGGCCATTTTCAAACGGCCTTATTCCATTTTAGTAACTGGTTGCTAATGGATTTTTCCCCTGTCATTTCAGACAGACCCGTTTTAGTAACCAGCTGCTAGTAAAATTTGTTTACCTGTTCATACAAACCGGCTTGTGCCTGGTTAACAAAGCATGGTTGAGCCGCTTTTGAGTGAAACTGCTTTCTTCCATTTTCTACCCCTTCATTGCGTTTCTGAATCGCTGTAGTGTGCTGTTTAAAGTGTCCATAGCACTTCCTACAATTCCACTTTTTTCCTGCCGTTTTTCACTATAGCACTCAATTTAGAACATTAAAAAAAACCCACCAAACTCTGAGGAAGATTGCATGGCGAAAAGGGGGGGGGAGTGGCATGGTTTGAAATGACCATAGCACTTCAGAGACAGCTCATTAACATAAGGAAATTTGCTGTATGAAACCCCCGGACCCTGTATCGATTTGCTCGAAATTGGACCAACGACAAATAACATCTGGTTTAGAATGGTAATATGAAAAAGGTCAATAACTTTCTTTTTCTGGTGGGTAGCCATGTTGGTCTGAAGCAATAGAACAAAGTTTAGTTCCAGGGGCACCTTTAAGACTAACAAAGTTTAATTCTGAATATAAGCTTTTGTGTGCGTGCACACTTCTTCATATAGCGATATCTGAAGGTGTGTGCATGCATATGAAAGCTTATCTCAGAGGTGCCACTGGAATCGAACTTTGTTTTATTTCTGCTTCTGATAAGTGAAAATGTCAGCACACTGTTTATCACCCTGTGATTAAATTTAAGGGTGGGGGCCCCCCGATTCAGCCCACAGGATCCTAATGGGCCTTCCGTAGTTTACCAAAAATCCCAAGAAGAAATTCATTACTATGTGGATTTGTATTGCATCTCTAAAAGACAGTATTCCAGAACCTTACAAAGGCAACAATATGAAAAAAATAATATAATGAATAATATAAAACTACATATAACAGTGAATGAGTAAAGCATGATCAACATGACTTAAGAATCATCCTGCCTGCAACACTGAGCCTGAAACAGAATAAAAATGTTTCTGAGGTAAACTTTGTTTTCTTCCCAGCAAAAGGTGGATAACGTATAAGCCTTAGAATCAGCTGGAAACTGATGTTGTCTATGATACAGTTCTTTTTGTCGCTGTATCCTGAATTAACCCAATTATAAAGGGACAGAATTTTGGAACCATTTCTCCTCGTTCTTTGTTTTTCCTTCCTTCCTTTTCCCCCCCCCCCCCCCTTTCCTTCCATAGAAACAAAGAGCCCTCCTGGATTTGGTCAAATGTTTATGTGGTCCGGGTATGCCGTTTCAGTAGCAAGTGACTGGTTTCTTCTGAAAGCTTGTGAACTCAAAGGTCCTTCCCTGATTTTTGCCCCCAGCATCTGAAAAAAAGAGACTTCCTTTAGTTGTCAAAGCTTCCTCTTCTAATTTCACTCTCATCCCATCTGCTATGCAGATTTATGGTGGTCTTTTTATATATATATATTTAAAAGGGTATTTGTACATAAGAATAATGAGTATGGGAAGTTGGATGACAAGCCATGAATGTGTCAAATGTAAGGGAATCGAAAAAGGGAAATAAAGGGGGAAAGGAGATCTATATGGATGTGACAGTAAGTTCCATAGTGTTTCAGGCATTGGTTTGTTCAGGGAAATGCCTCTATCTAGTGTGTCCTTAAAGTATGAATCCATCAGATGTTGTCTGCGATAGTTGATTAGTTCTATGTGGAGAGTTAGCAGATCTTTGGAGGATCTTTTGTAGTGCTGTCACCAGAGATATAATGCAGATTGATGTAACGTCTGACCAAAATTTGCCGGGACCCCTGGAAATAATTCCCAGTGGTGGTGGCGGCCATGAATTATAACACATGCACTTTCTCTTCTGTTTTACTTGCCCGCTTGAAGATGACAGGTGTCCACTTCCAGCAAAGTTCTCATTTGTAGTTATGCTTTGTGTCAGTATGTCTTGGGAAAGAAAACACATCGCCGCTAAAACAGTTTGTCTATTTATAGTTATCGCAGTTTTCCCGTTATACATTCCTTGCAAATAGTTTCTGGCAGGGCCCTGACGCAAGCCTGTGCAGTTAAAACTGACTCGAGGGTAACAAATAGCGGGTTAAGGTTAAGAGAAGGAAGAAGGATGAAGGTTCACATGACATATGGCAGTAGTGCCACATGTCCCTGCGCAACCAAGCACATTGTTTGTGGTAAGCTCACACAACTTGTAACCTGGCAAGCTGAACACTTCCTATCAGCATGTACAGCAGAAACTTAATAAATCTTGTATATTTACTGGTTCCTTGGGACTGCAAAACAGAGGGTGGAAGAGCG